ACAAATCCTCTGGCTGACATTTATTCACAGGTACTTAATTTAAAATGGGTGATCATGATTTTCTGGCAGGACATTTCATACACTATAGCCCAAAGGCACTCCTACCAACATTTCTGCTAAGAACTGAATAATTGGTGGTAGACATCTACTGCTTCTTGGTAAGCCACTATGTGTTGTGAAGCTATTATTTGCACTGAATCATACACTTCCATTTGGATTTTGGATTTCTTCCTTCAGCTTTCACTGCTACATATGAGATCTTACAATGCCTTTTTCTACCAGATTAAAAAGCTCCTTAGAATCTGGTGTCTTTTCCTGACATCTCTGAGCATACAAAGATAAAAGGGACCCTAGCAGATTTCTCTTTTATTATCATCACATATATTGTTTGGAACAGAACACACAAACCTAATTACTAACTCAGCTCAGAGAAGGGCTTTACATTTCAGCACAGACTGGTCAGAGATTTTTTAATAATTAAAGTACAATTTAATTCTTTACTATCACAATTTAAAAAGGCATCATCTTGTTCTTAATACTGAAAGAAAAAAAGACGAAGACAAGAGTCTCTTTAATACTAAGATGTTTTAAAGTACCACTGTTTGTCTTTGGATAATACGCTGGGTTATTTCCAGAAGCCCTCAAGGCAATTCCTCTCTTTCATTAAAATAACAAACTATTGAGCTAAATTTTGTCCCTATTTCACTTCTGTAAGCTCACTGCAGACAATGGTGCTGCAAATGCATAAATGAGTGCAGAATTTGAAGACTGTGGGAACTCTGCTAGTGTGAAGACAAACTGGACGTGAATGTTCCTTCCTTCAGTCCTAAGATGTCCCTGACATGGCACCCAGAAGGTGACCAGACATGATTCGGTGGCTACAAGACCAAGGTGGTCACAGCTTTGATTCCTTTCATCCTTTTCCTTCTTTGGTTTTCTCTTCCCATCAGTGCAGGGGTGAAAAGGACCTTAGCACTAGAGAAAATCCTACGATGAGGACTTCGCAGGCTTCACCTATATTCTAGTTTCAAAGCCACAAGATAATACTGAGTCAGGTTTATCCTGACTGAATGATGTAAATGAGGCAACTAAACAAGCCTGCAGTTCATGTGGCATCCTTTTGGGAACTCAGCTGGGCTTTCATGCAACCCACATGCAGGCTGCTGCTGGCTCAGTTCAACCCAGTGGTCTCCCAGGACAGTGACTATGCCAGCCTCCCTAAATAGCCTTCTTTCATATAAGTTTTCTTTTTAACTTTTAAGTAGAACAAGAGAAACCAGTCTTTCAAACTCTAAATTTATAGATAGAATTTGCAGGAGATTTTAGGATTAAATTGCAATCTTAAATTCTCTAAATTTCTGTGTCCGTAATGAGAAACTGTAAAATAAAATAAATATTATTCAAACTTAGATCATAATTTTAAAAAATGTTTAAAAATATTTTAATTAATTTTCTTTTATTGTTACCAGTACTAGAAACTATAAAACAACCTACATATCCTTAAGTACTTTCCTCTGGAGAAAAGATGGCAGAAGCCAAGTTTTTAAAAACTTCATTACAACATTCCACACTTCTGACCATCATGCTTCATGGCTCCATTATTTGCAACAACAGCACTTAACTGTGTATGCCTTTTGTTTTGGCATATTTATACTTCTCTGCAGTAGGTTAAGGAACCAATTTTCAAGAAGATCACATTTTTTGAGTTATTTTGTTGCAAAACGGAAATAATTGTACTGTGATGGATATAGACTGTTAATAACTGCTGCTATTGCATTTAAAGAAGAGATATCATCTTACCCAATGAGCTATCATTCAAGACACTCTCCAAATACTTGACCATAGCCTCGACATCACTGTCCTGTGGATAAATGAAATAGGGAATAGCACCAGTGTGAGCACAAAGTTAAATATAAACACTAGGTACCAGAGGTATGATCCCATAAACATAAAGAATATACATCACTTATACCAATGAGTGTCAACACCACGCTACAAAGAGTCTACATTTCTCAGGACTTTTCCTACACTTTCTTCTCCCAAAATACCAGGCTTGGGAGTGATGTTATACACAATTATTTACATCAGATTCCATGTAGAACAACTGTGCATGGAGTTTACAGAAGATATGTTTACTGTGGAGGTGTGTAATCCCTGAAAATACACCAGCATTTTAGCAGTGGTTAGTCTTGGAATATCTGGAACAATATTACGCTGAAAAAGGCAAGTATGTACTTCTTAACTATGCCAAAAATTCTAATGCTTATGATAGGTGTCCACTGCAAATTAACACTTACGTTTCATGTAATTGCATCTACTTACGTATCTCGTAACAATGACTAATTGAAAAAAATTTAATTAAGAAGAGATTTTAGCACTTTTCTATTTCAAGTATTCTGTCACCAGACAGACAAATAACAGTTTTGCCATGATATCTTTCATGTGAAATGCTATTTGTGTACACAGATGAAATGTAATGATCTGGCCATTAAGCAATGATTGTGGTCCAGGAAATAGGTCACAATTTTATTAAAGTCCAAGAGAAATTTGGACTCTGGGTTTCCAGAAGCTGCTACCATATCACAGTTGACAACATAGCATTTCTTGACTATATAAAACTGAAAGTCAAAATCTTGACCTTGCTGAAAAATCTGCCAAAAATCTATATTTTAAAAAATATTGAGCAGTGGAATAAAAAGAAACAATATTGACCTCAGCTACAATGGACAATCTGCTTTATCCTTCTCTGTGACCTTACTCAAAACGCTCATTCTAAATTTCTCAAACCGAGGAACTGCCAGCATACCTTAACAGGATAACAATAATTGTGGGCAATGACTGTTAGCTGGATAGAGACTTTTTGGTCCAAGTGAGACCTGTTATGGATAAACATGACCTAACTTCTTATCGCCCTAAGTTGTTTCACGGGCTTATATTTGAAACAGGCTCTGCTATTTTAGCTGAGGTTTGCAAGATGGGAATCAGCTTCTTGGCTGGCCATTTCAATAGATAACACAAAGGCTTGCAGGTTTGAAGGACCCTCTTTGCCCTTTTGGAGCAGCCTGTGGGGTCCTGGCTAGATAAACTCAGCGCCAGTTTCCACTTCCGCAGCCCATCCAAAGTGCCTGAGTTATCTCAGATGACCAAATTAATCTGAACCTGCCTAACTGGGGCTTTTGCCAATTAGCAGTAAAGTGCCCAGGAAATGTTACAGAATGCATTACATTTATATATGCAATATATATTGAATATTGAGTTAAGACAGACTTAATATAACAGATATAATTTATCTGTATTTTTTAAAAAAATATAAAATTAATCTTTAGGACTTCATTAAAAAGTTATTAAGTGTTTTTCATTCAAAACTAAAATTTGGTATTAATTTTCTGCTAACATAAATTTGTAATTATTTTTCTTTTCACTATCACTAACAGTTAACTGCAAATCTATAGACAGGCAGATAAAAACATGGTAAATGGCCATATATAATACTAATACAATCACTTTAATAAAACCTTTTTCTTTTTCTTTTTTAATGGGATAAAGAATGTAATCCCCAAACCTTTGACCTGTCACAACAGGACATCATATTTACTCCAAATATCATAACATTGCTGATTTATTCTCATCACATTGTAAGGCAAAACATACACTTCCAGCACTTTCATCACCACTGGTTTTCAAGGAAACTACCTGGAATTACTTGGCTATCTTGAAACAAAATTTTAATGAGGAAGAGAATATGGTTTTCACACCATGGTAGATAGTTGAATAAATGGTTAATCAACTTACACTGAGGCAGAAACAACCTCTGCCTTTTCTCCACTTGGGTTTAGCAATCCAAGAAGATTTTAGCTGTTTTATTTAATATGCTTATGTATTTAATATATTTCTTTAATGTTTCTCTTTTTTGCAGAGAAAACAAAGCCCTACAGAATAGGCAAGAGACTCTGACAGATGCGCAGAAGAGAGGCACTCTTGCATGTAAGAGACAGGGTGGATGAATGCTTGCACATTTCAAATTCAGAACAAACGAGCCTTTTCTAACAGCAACAGGCCATGCCAAGGTGCATGTTAGGAATTCAGTGGAGCATTTTCTGGTGACAGCACACAGACCACCCACAGCTGCTGGAGCTATGATAATTTATGCCGGCTGATTATCTGGCTTGACAATGTCAAAAGCAACCTGGAAATTGAAAATAGGAAGCTAATGTACCACATTAGTAGACTTTGTCATAATGAAGAACTTGCTACTATTGTCACTAAAACAAAACACAAAGAACAAGGTGACAAACTGCAGTAAAAAGCACCCATTATCATCTCAACTAAATCAAAGCCAATGAAAGCTTCACTGTGCACTAACTTCTCAAGATTAAACTTCTTCTAAGCTTCATATTTCTTAATTTTTTTAGAAACAGTTTCTCATTATCTTTCATGTTGTCCCCTAATTAGAAACCAGTGTTCCTAGGAAAAAACACGTGGAAAAGAGCCATTGGCTTGAAGAGGTAGAGGTCTGGAAAAGTAACTGGCAAATTGCTGCTTGAAATTTGGCAATTAGCATTTCTGCTCCAAAAGAGAGGGACAAAGGACACTAAACTCCAATGCTACAACCAAGATGAGAGGTCCAGATGTGTTTATGTTCTGAAACTGGTGGTAAGTCTACATCTGCAACTGGACAAGGTAGCTGAAAACACACAGGCTGTATTGAAAGACACCAACGTGGGGAAAAATAGCTGTCAGCTCCCATTCTAAACCTTTAAAATTATACCGTTCCAGTGTCTAACTCTACCTTCTTAACTGAAGAGGTGTTGCATCCCACATAAGGTCACTACTTCTCAGTCTGTCTTGACATCTGTGGAAGCCTAATACAGCTTGAATAAATAGCTCAGATCTCTTTCTGCATTGTACACTCCAATGTGTTGTTCAATTAGATGACTTTTCTGACCCCATGCTACCACATGAACATCAGAATTTTTTTTAATCATTGTTTGAAGTAATGGGGTCACCAGGGAGCACCACCAGATGCAGCATTTCTGCACTCTTTGCAAAGAAGTAACAAGCAAAGCAATCTTGCCATTGGAAAACTGAGAGATTTGCACAGATTAGGAAGGTAAATATCTTAAAAGTCCTTATCCTGTGTTGCAGTGGAATGACTTCTTTATTATCACACACCTCCAAAAGCTTAATTTATGAAGGTATTTTTGAAGAAAGGGTTTAAGAGTATGAACCCCATCATAGAAATAGGAGTAGGAGTTTTGGTATTAAGTAAATGACTGCAGAAGCAAACCCCTGCTATATACTAGCAAGATCAATCTATTCTGGTAGGATTTGAAGCTTATTATTAATACTGAACATGATCCCACCTACCTTTGAGTGGGATTCATCTCACATAACTGTTGACATCCAGAATGAAGATGTCCCATGCATGCTAATAATGTAGATCCCTTTAGAATCACCAGAGAGAGAGACCTCTCAGCATATTCCATCTAACTTATGTGAGATGTTTACACCAAGATAACCTTATTCCCTAAAAATGCTTGCTCACTTCCCCTTGCTATACAGACTTTCCATTAATTTAGTTCAGACATAGGTGCCTGGATTTGCACAGCTAAGTTCAGTCTGCTTTGACCTCGGACTTACTTGCAGAATTTTTCACTTGAGAATGGGAAAATTGAAAATTATGCTCACTTCCCAAGAAAAAGAAAAGGTGATTGCATCAACCCCCAGAAACACAATTCTGCTTTATCTAAGTGCTGGGGTCAACATGAGAAAAAACAAAGACAATTAGTTTGATAGAGGAAATCCTAAAAGGCAAATGGTCAGCAGGGGTGCTTCCCAGTCAGTCTGTGCAGGCCAGTTCGCAGAGTGTTCGTGCTCTGTGTGCACACCGACTGCTGGTAAAGCAAAGCCTCTAGGCCATCCGGGGTGGATACAGACAAGGGGGTGCCAGCGGGACAGCTCTTCCAGCCCACAGCACCAGTCCTTGACATCGCCGAATTCTGAGTCACTGCAAGATGAGGGAATGTCGCTGCTCAGATCTGATTGCCAACAAATAATTTATTCTGCATTATTGAGAAATCTATTTTTATCTTCTGCCCTTCATTAAGTCTAAGCAGCAGTCTGCCTGTTCAGAAACACTACTGATTGACACTCAATGAAACCATCAATGATAGCTGAACGAAAATTTTAAAAGGTGTTCTAAAAAGAAAAAAATTATCTCAGTCCGATGAAAGTCAGCAATAATTTATTTTCAAAAGTATCCTGTGGTAGACTTTCCGGGCAACAGAGTGCTTGCATATCTGTGTCATGGGTAAGCAGAGGCCCAGCAAACAGAAAAAAAGCATTGTCTTAGATATTCCACCGATTTACAATTGACTAATAATTTCTTTAGACCACTACTGTATAAACCAATCCTGAATTTTAAAACGTCCTGTGTGTTTAGTCTGAGAGCTAGGAGGACATTTCTAGATTCAATGAAGCTGTGTCTGAGTAAACTTCAAGTTTAACTCGTGGGATAACTTCAGGACTCCATGTTACCATGGTAGAGGTAGAGTTCTGATTTCTCATACAAACATTTTATTTTTGCCTTAAAAACTAAAGAAGTTATTAGTTCAAATTTTTCAAAAATCAGTACAAGTTATTTATAATTTAGTGAAGAGTATTAGTATACTTGGTTCATTCCCTGAAATGCAGAAGCCATCACACTCTGTTCTGTAAAATTTGCACATGAACACAGAATAAAATATATGATCCTAAGCAGAACCAGACAGTATCGTTCAGAGGCACTGTATGCAATCCTTTAAGCTAGTGGCCCAGGGGAGAAATGAATTGTCCCTGAATGCCTTAGGAAGATCCATTTTCAGAACTGACTTAAGTATTTAATTTTATTGATTTCACTGTAACTTGATCACTGGAGTCAAGATTCATCTCAGCTCATTCTGATCAGATCTAAATTAGGTGCCTTTTCCAATAATCTTCAACCTTCTTCACACTGCAATCCCTACAACTTTCTTGTGGCAGCCTCACCTGATAAAGCTACTTTAAGGCTTTCAATAAGTTTTCTCATCACCAACACTTTCTGAGATTCTTGGGAAAGTCTACGCATTTGCTAGTCATGTCTTGCAGTTGTTTAGGCTCATAGTTCATCATGTTGTCCTAGAAAACATGTCTAATACAGTCAGGAAGAATTGGCAACTAGAGGTGCCTATCTTTGCCCAGGAATTAGAGCTGGAACTTAGATCTTATGCTTGAAGTATAGTTCCAGCTTTAAGTTAATTAATCCATAGCTAACACGTGAGAGAATCCCACTCTGAGTGTTTTACAGTCACAAGGAAGTTCACTGACAACAATCCACCTTAAGGCATTCATGGGAGTGTTGTCCTTAATCTTGAAGGAATGCAAGAACATTTCTTGTCAATGTCTCAGAAGAATTACATATGCATACATATATAATTAATGGTATTGATATACACACACATTCCTAACAGAAACAAATTTTAGTAACCTCAGTAGGACAAAATCTTGGAAGGAGTTTAATTTTCCCATGGCAAAGGAGCATCAAGTGTATACTGTTTTCCTAAAGGTCACATATACCTGGTGATTTGTCTTAGAGACAGTCTGCGATGCTTCCGCGTCCTCCTCCTCTTCACTGCCTTCTGAACAGGATTCAAACTCATCATTATAATATTCTTCTGCAATTTCTGGGTCTTCAGGGATCTCTAAAGGCAATTATGAGTTTATAGCATACAGGCAGAAAAAATGTATGATCTTAAAATGGTTTTCATAGCACCTATGTTATGTCACTAGCGACGCATTCTGTAATTGAAATAAAGGCATAGGTTCTCAGATTAAAATATTCATCTTTGATGCCATGATAAGCAGTGTTAAAGCTGTCTCTGGCAAAAGGTCAGATCCTCATCATATGGAAATTAATGACCTTAAAGGATCTATATTGATTTTAGGCTGAAATCACTGAACCATAGAATAATTCAGGCTGGAAAGGACCTCATAGGACCATCTAGTCAAAGCAGGGTCAGAATTGAATTGAATCCAACTTTTGTGAGCTGAAATTATGCCCCAGTTTCATTTTCTCTTAACACACATAACCTGTAGTGAATACAACTGCTAAGCTATAATGGAAAACAATACATTCCAGGCACATGTTTAAAAGATATAAGAAATAAAATCTGTATCTTTTCCCAAACTTGCCTGAAGCAAAAGCATAACAAAATGAAAGAAATTGGTGTAAAGGCAAGCTATGCGTATTTGGATGTCATGCTTTCTTGATTTATTTTTATCACAAGTTTTAATAATAGCAATGAGTGCAATATTAATATAGCCAAAGAGCCTATGAAGTACAATAATTGCTATTAAAACTCAACATATTCATCACAGCATGAAAGACACCCCAGCCACTCTGCTCTGGGTGAAATCCTTTAGCATACCAGACTCCATAAGTAAGGAGTCAGTGAAAGGGCTCAAGGCCTGATTGCATCTGCTTCAGGGAGCTGTCCCTTCTCAGCAGAAGCACTTAAGCACATGTTGAATTTTAAGCAGAGGCAGGACTGTGGTGATTAGTTGAATAAAAAGCAGAATTCCCACTTTTCTAGACAGAAAGCTGCAAGGAAAAGAGTTGCCCACAGGAGACATGGCTCGGCAGCAAGAGATGGGATCAGAAGACAAGGAAGCCTGGCTCACTGTCTATCCCATCAGTAGCCCTAGACATTCACGAAGAGAGATACTCTAGGATAGCTAACCCCCATGCTTTGACTTTAGGCAGTCCCTTACTGACTTATCAAGATAAGTTACATCCAAGCCCAGGAACAATGTTTTTATGCTAACAGTTTTCAAAAAGAAAATGTTTGGTATCTGTCTTTGCCTGGTATTATTACAAGAAATGTGAGTTGAAGACAAAAAAATGCTTAATATTCAGTTGTCATAAATCACCATAGTCCTAACTTTAGCTAATGCTGATTTCCACCATTCTCCCCAATTAAATCTATCACTTTAAAGAAATATCTTAAATATTACTTCATTGAAAGAAATTAAATTCTAACAATATGACATAAAAAATGCTTAATAGATTTTTTTTTTAACTTGTTTCACATGCATAAAAAAAAAAACAAAAAAGGATTTAAACAGGGGAATACAATTAAAATCCATCAAAAGATATTGGAGTTTGAGCAGGAGGAATAATTCTGATCTTTAAGTCGTAAAAAAAGAGAACTCAGGAAAAAAGTGAAAACGTATTTATCTGCAGCACTAGGTGCTTGAAGCTCTCCTGTTGAGATATGATCTCTACTATCTACTGTGTCCAGAGCATTTTTAAAAATACTTCCTTTTTTTACAAACTTGATTTACCTCCAAAATGATGACACATTTTCACTCAGGTTTCTCTGGTTTAAGATATTTATGGAAGCTGCACAACAGCACCATGCTCCACTGCCACAATTTCTAATCCTTCCTGTTTCTATTTTTCACCTTTCTTAGCAGAAGAATGCCCCCAACCCAAAAACTTTTTCCCACAAAGCAAAGCATTTATTATTGTGTTTAATCGTTTTGAGTTCTACAAAATGCCACTTCACATAGAAGCCTAACTAAAAAAACCCAACACCTTAAATATCATTCTTTTTAAATGGGAAGAACACTACAAAATGAAGACACATCTCCTGTTCCAGATGGAGTGAACATTAAATTTTCTTTCTTGCAGAGAGGCTGTCATTCCTGTCATTAGTATAATATTATTAGGTTAATCTGCATTCTATCTGTGTATTTATGCATTCAAATATATATGAAACAGTCAATTTAGTACATTATAATACAAACATTGAACTACGCTAGTGTTTTTTGAGTTGTCTTCCCTTCCCAAATTTTGCATTTGTTTAGTGTTGTGCTAAAAATGCAATCTTTCCCCTCCCAAGCAAATGACATATCAAAATCAGTCTTTTTACTCTTAATAGTAACTTCAAAATGTCTGCTTTGGCTACAGTAAAGGTCTATACCTTGTGAGTAGCCACAAGAGTGACCATCCAAAACTGCTGATGCCTCCAAACTATATGGAGAGGCTGGCACTGGTCATATCCCACTTCCATGTCAGCTTTTGCATCCTTGTCAGAATTGCTCACTTCACCATTTGTGAAATTGTTTTGACAGCTGTTCATATACAGTCCATTAATCCAAGCTCAGTAGCACAATTTCAAATGCTAGTTCAGACACTAGAGATGTTCCAGGGCACACAAGTTTACTGGTCCCAATTCAGAAACTATTCTAAGTGACATTTCTGAAAGAAGACAGCATGTCCAGTGGATGGGAACTTGGGATTTAGCTAGTACAAGTCCTTAAAACTTTTTGGGTTTATGACAACATCTTTAAAGAAGGCACCTTCAAAACATCAACACATCCATTTAGGCTATCCGGTTCCATATAATAGTTCCCCGAGTCCTACTAGATAGACCCAACTCCCAGTCCTCCATGTGCTACAGATGCAGAAACACATCTCTGGTTCTCTGGAGAATTAATCTGAGTACAGAACATCTTATTTAGTTGAGACCCAGGATCAGATGAATTTCAAGGACACATAAGATGGCTTTAGCACAGCAGATACCATAATTCAACAGGGTGAGCTGCACCTGTGCTGGCCTTGTAAAGTCTAAGTGCAGATAACTTGAGTTGGTATTTTCAGTTCAGGGCAGGACTGTCAGGGGAGGTTGGGCCCCATATGCTTCCATTTCCATGTCTGCAGTCCATCCTCCAGAATATTTGCTACCTGAGTTTTACCATGATCCTGGATATTTCATACATACCTCCAATTTCCACTAACCAGGTAGCAAAAGGCTGGTTAATGCCACCATCCCTGAATATTGTTGGTGCAGTTGCACACCTTAGCATTATAGCACAGATGAAAACTCCTTGGTTTGCACTTTCAGAGAAGTAGTTTTTAATAAAAATGTTGCTCTTTGGGTTAGGTCTGTTTGACTTTTGTTTGCACACCTTTGCAAAGCCTAGCATGGACTCTGAGGCCATGACGTTGACCTGTCCTTTGTTCTGACAGAATTTAGAAATTAAGCCTATTTTTACCCAAGTACATTCTAGGCACAAATGTGGTGCTAGTGAGGTAAATATCAAGTCTATCATGTTGAAAGAGGAAACAAAACCACTGCTGCAGAACCTAGGGTACTCTGTCTCTTTGTTTCAACAGCTAGACTGGGAGGAGAGCAGCATCACATTTAGGAAAGTCCTGACGCCATTTGTAGCCCATAGGACCCCGTTGCTCACACAGCACTCCTCACGTGCCCAAGCACAGTAAGTCCAAATCACCCCATTCCCTGCACACAACAGTGTCACCCTGTGCAGCATACACGTGGTAGGCAGGGACACTGCTTTCCTTGCAGACCCTTGCAAAAAGAAAGGTGATGGTAACATCCAATACAAAGTTTTCTAATACTGTGCCAGCTAGTAAAACGTGCAGCCTGATGGCCACAATACTGCTGCAACACACTTGTCCCTCAGATGCCTGTTCTCCCTCTGATACAGCATACTTATATGCTCCACATGGAGCACAAAGGAAGGTCTCTAGAGCTGCTTCTGCCCCCTCATGCCCCCCGGTCTGTCAGCTGACCTCTGAAAATACATTGTGTTTTATCTAGCTGCGGGTATTGCACTAAGGCCAGTCAAGGTATTTTTAGTTGCTTACAAAGCACTTCATTCAGAACAAACTCAGCTATTGCATTCATATTGCTAGATGGTTTAGGTATAGCATTGAGACACTTGATATTTGCTGTTAGATATTCAAAAGAAAAGGAGCTCTGAATAATAACATTCCTCTTTAGATTTCTTTCTGTATAGTAACATGACGCTAATAGTGAAAGGAAGGGTAAAAACCCATTATCTAAAAAATTCATAAAAGCGTGGTTATTTCTCAAGAAGACAAACTATGCAGAAAATAAAGGAATGCGATACTTGCAATACTTTACTTAAATCCACCAAGAGCTTGTTTTAAGTAGCATGGTAATTTGATAACAACAATAGCTTTCTCCAAAGAGATCAAAATACTTTGATAAATATCTTTAATTTTCTCTTGCCTTGAAGTCATACTTATAATCAGTTCACTGATGCAGCATTCTCACATTCCAGTCCACGCAGAAGACAATAAGTAAGGCCCCTTTTATTTAAAAAAAGGTGCAGAAGAAAAAAGAAAACAGAACAGTATAACATATGTTCATTTTCACTACTTGTATTCACAGTCAGAAGGTTACACTTGGCTCTTAAGGACTATTGTACTTTTTTAATCCCAAGGCTTCATGGCATCTCTGGAAAAAGGCAGATTTTCTCAGCTGCCACTCTCCCATCTTAAGGAAAAAAATGTTATAGTTCCATGTAGCTACAGTCCTTGGTCTGCGCAGTACTACAGAGAGCAGAGTGAGGAGCAAATCATTTGACTGGTCTGACAAACATATACTGTCATGAGATATAATGCACTCTTAATGTTATGTTAACTCTGCAGCCGTACACTGCCACAGAGAGCTTGAAAAATTAAGAGGAGGGGCCAGGACACAGACGCTTGCACTGTTCCCCCAGCAAGGCTTTGTACACGATCCACGCTGGGGACTGAGGCAAGAGTAGAGCAAATGATTATTCTGCCTTCTGTTTCTGCATTGCACTGGGCTGCCAGACAGGCCACTGGCAGGATCTCATCAACAACACAAAGGTGCCCCTGGTC